GCTGGGGAGATCTCAGCGCCTTTCCAGCTCTGGGACCTTCCTAGCCCCTGAAGCCTTGGTTTCCCAACTGTGAAGGGAATGACAATGTGAACTTTGCAGAGCTTTCTGGAGGATCGAGTGAGATCGGTAGGTAAACACCCTGGACGGCGCCTGGCTCCACCACGTGGGTCTGGTGGGAGCAGAGCCACTGGCCCGGCCCCAGGAGACCCCGCGCAGCCCGGCCTGAGCCGCAGCGCCCTCTGCTGGCCAGGCGCACACCGGCCGTTTCTGGCTCTCCAGGTTCGTCCTGCAGTCCCCGGCGCTCGGTCATCCTCGCCCACCTGCCATATCTCTTTCTCTCCAGAAAGTGTGCCCAGGGGCTGGGGGCAGGGAGAACAAGAGGAGTGATTTATGAACGGAGCTGCTCTTCTTAATCAGAGAGCCCCTCCCGCCCCGCTCGGTGCAGATGGGCTGGGCGGCCATCTGGGGCCCCGGGAGGGGCGAGATTAATAAAGCTGTCTGTCCCAGGTGGGAGCCTGCTGAGAACCCTGAGGCTCTGTGTGACCTCGGCCCCATCTCGGCCCCTCTCTGGGCCTTGGGGCTCCCATCTGTCAAGGGATGGCAGGACTGGGTCACCCCCCAGGGCCCTCCAGCTGGCCCGGGAGAGGATGCTGGCAGCTTCCTGAGCTCTGTGCACGGCTGCCTGGTTCAGAGCAGAACCACGCAGGGCTGGTGTCCCTTCGGCTGCTGTGCCCCACCAGACTCCATCTTGTCAGCTGCTCTGGTTTGGGGCTTAGCTGACCAGAGCCATGTCTTACTAAGCAGGAGAATCAACCAGGCCAGTGGTTGCCTCCTCTGGGCCTCAATTTCCTCATCTGCAAAATGGGATAGTGATGGTTCCCATCCCCTCCTGGGAAGGGATTAAGTAAGATGCAGAAGAAATGCACAACAGGGTCTGGGACCTGGTGGACACTCAATTCTTTTTTTTTTTGGCGGGGGGGGGGGCTGGGGATTGAACTCAGGGACACTTGACCACGGGGCCCAATCCCCAGCCCTATTTTGTGTTTTATTTAGGGACAGGATCTCACTGAGTTACCTAGTGCCTGGCTTTTGCTGAGGCTGGCTTTGAACTCATGATGCCCCATCTCAGCCTCCCGAGCCGCTGGGATGACAGGCGTGCGCCACCTCACCCAGCAGTTATTAATAACTCAATTATCACAAAACTAGAAAACCCTGACATTAGGGAGAAGATGATTATACCCACCCTAACCAAGCCTGGGGTCCGCGGCTCTCTATGGCACCCACCACTCGTGTGGTTGGGGTACACTTATTCCCCATACACGGCGGTGCTGGTGGTGAGCCCCCGTGATTGCCAAACAATCTTCCAAGTGTCCCCAGATCCACGATGCCACGAATTCTTCCAACCGCCTTTGGCTTTGAAATCGATCGTGGGTTTTCAGAGGAGACCCTAGCATGTCTGGGAGAGTAGTGACTTCCCAAGATCCCAAGGGAGCTGGCCAGGCAGGCTGTCCTGGGTTCTGCAGAAGGTATAGGTTGAGTGCAGCAGATGTCCCCTGTGCTGTCCTCTTCCAGGACAAATAGGAGCCAGGAACCAAGGGTCATCCAGGGGACTTGGAACTCCAAAGAGGGGCAGGGCTCTTTCACAGACGAGGCAGGAGCTGCCCGGTGAAGAGAAGGCTGGACCCCATCCATACAGGCTCCAGCACCTCTTGTCACTGAGTTGGCCTTCTGTGTCACCCATGCCACCGTGTCAGAGGATGTGAGCCACGTCACACTCAGAACGGCAGCCTGAGGTGCTGGCAGGGCATGGGCGGGCGATATTGGGGAGAGGACTGAGATGGGACAGGGAAGAAGAGATGCAGGAGAAAACCCTGACCCCTCTCCCCGCCGAGGGCCCTGGGGCCAGGCATGGTCAGCCCTGGACGGACCCCCAGGCTCCCGTTCCTGAGCACACAGAAACCCAAGCTCCAAAGGAGCCAGGTGGCTTCATTTCTCCCAGTGAGCTCAGACTCCTGTCCTGCCTGGACCCGTGGCCTCTTCTCCGGCTCCTCCTGCTGGGAGCACACAGGACCCCCTGGCCCCTGGCTCATCCCCAGGATGGCTTTCCCAACTCCCTGCTTGGAGCCACAGAGGAAGTCCCGGCTCTCCAGGGGATGCCCAGCTTAGCTGTGTGAGGTCAGACAAGTCACTTCTCTCTCTAGGACAGAGTTTCCCCACTGTAGAATTGTCACATTTACTAAACCTGATGTATAGACATTGGGCAAGCAGTCCCCACATGTGTAGACTCAGACCAAGTGGGGCCACCAGCTCCCAGGGACACCGTGAGCTCTCAGGAGGGAGGCGCTCCTCCTGCCTGCCCACCTCCCTTAAGGCTTCACCTGGCCAGGTATGGTGCTGCTCACCTGTATCCCAGTGAATGGGAGGCTGAGGTGGGAGGATCATGAGTTTGAGGCTAGACTCAGCAACTTAGTGAGACCCTCAACAATTTAGTGGGGCCCTGTCAGAAAATAATAATAATAAAAGGTCATAGGCATGTGTTAAAGCGCCCCCAGGTTCCATCCCCAGTACCAAAAGCGTGGGAGTGGGATGTACCTTCACCCTTCGCTGTTCCCTCCTCCACTTCTCTCGGTGCAGTCACTCTGGTGAAGTCAGCGCTCCCCTGTGGCTTTCCCAGCCTCAATGCTATCCCTTCCTGTATCCTCCAACCTCACTCCAACCGTGAGCATGCGCTCGCTCCCTGCACAGCTTTGGCACCCGAGGGAGCAGCATATGTCTACTGAGGGGATGGTGGGGAGAGAGGTGGGTGGATAAATGGGTGCATGACGGATGGGTGTGTGGATGGATGGGTGAGTGGGTGGATAAAAGGGTGGTTAGATGGATGGATGGGGGGATGGGGGGATGGGGGGATAGATGGGTGGGTGGATGGGTGGATGGGTGGATGGATGGATGGGTGAATGGATGGGTGGATGGATGGATGGGTGGTTGGGTGGATGGATGGGTGAATGAATGAGTGGTTGGGTGGAGGATGGGTAGATGGGTGGGTGGTTGGGTGGAT